TAAAGTCACAAATTGTGGAATTTCCTTTAAAGAAAAAATTTATGTAATATCTTTATATTTATATAATTTATATAATATCCTTTATCTTGATAAGACTATTATTGCAAAGATAAAATGTGCGAAGGTCGCTGTTCAATTAAAGACGCAAAATAAAGAGCATGCATAGAGGAATGTGGAGTATTTAACATGAGATCAACAGCATGGTAAAGTAGCCACAAGCTGCGTAATAAAAATTGTAAAGTAAAATGCTCGTATAACTATAAATTATGTACATATCTTAATTAACATATTTTGAAATAACGAACAAAGAAAATAAACAGTTCGAGATTCTAAATAACATAATAATCCTTTAATAAAAAAATTGACATAGATTGAACGATAACTAAAAGTAAATAAATAAAAGTATGTTATCATCTTCGATACGATTATATGTATATTGATGAATCACCGAGTCATTCAAGAGTTGGCATTTTACTTCTGCATTTTACTTTCGTAATCTTGCTTTTGATATGCTTTCTTTTAGTGTATCTCGCTCTATCTTTTTCTTTCTCTCGCTTATCTAGCTTACGTCAACTTCCTCTTTTTCTCTTCCCTCTCGTCCTTCCGCTTGCCGCATGCAAATACGCGGTTCTATAAAGTCTCTTCAACTGAAGTATACGAATAGTTTGTGACTGAAAATAATGAATAAAAGAGAAAAGAATGTGAAACCATAAGAGTTGGGAAAGGCAAAGTAGTTTGCGCGACGTCAGGCACGTGGGACCACTAATACGAGCTGTTTCGGAATGGATTTTTAGGCCGGTCTCAATGGAGTCAAGCCTGCCATCCCACCGCGCGATCAGAAGAGAGCACCTGCCAGACCGCCGAAAGATAATTTGCGCCTCTCCACGCAGAACAATAATGTTGAGACGAGCGATAACGCCAACGCCGAGCCGACACAACAGCAGTTGCATTCTATCAGGAAATATCAGGTAAGATATGATGTCGGCACTCTTTCGCACTTGATGTTGTATCGAGTCACGTAAGCACGCATGATAAGCATTCGAAAAGCGCGAACATTACCAATCCCATGTCGAATTTTGGAGGAATGACGGAATGTAAGTATCGGCGTAAAGAAGAAAGAAAACAAATTAGATGTGTACCTAATTAGATGTGTACCTAATATATTCAAAATTATTATTGTTAAATTTAATAGCACATTCGTTAAGAGAATAAGCTCAAGTCAATACGCAAATTGCCTAAAGCTGGTAAGTGCTATTATATTCATAATAATAGACTAGCATATTTCTATGAAATTATCACTATCGGTTCAGAAAAAAATGACGTAGTTTGAAGCATAATCGTTCTCTTTCTAAATATAGAAATGAAGAAAAAGATTTTATGTTCAACTCTTTCTTTTTAAATGAGCAGAAAGAATGAGATAGCTTGATGCATATCGTTCTCTTTTTCTAAAGTATCACATTGAAGATAAATGCTGATAATTCTTTTTCACAGAAGTTAAGATCAGGGAATGCGCAATGTTGCAGTTTGTATCTATCACATTACGTCTATGAATGCTACGAAGCGTTTATTTTATTATTATTAATATTGAAGCCGCGTCTGTTAAAAGAATAAATTTTATGTAATCGATTTCGCTGTACGTAAAAATTATGTCCAACCGTGGTAATTGCCACGAAACGTATTGGTTTTGTTTCATGTAAATAATAAACATTCTCGTAAAAATCTTTATGCGCGAGACACGATTTACATATTGAAGAAGGGTTGACCGCGTAATACCGCCAGTCTAGCTCGTAAACTGGCACGTGTGCTTCCTCCGGTATTTCGTCACAACGATAAAACTGCGTCTCTTGCTTTCATCGAAATTTACAATTTTGCCCTGTGATCGGATTAAGTTGTTAATAAGCGGGAAAACAGAAATTTTGCGGGGAGTTTTTAACCGTGAAAATAACGCAACAGTCGTGGGTGAGATCGCGTTGCGTAACGATGCAATAAATGACAGATCGTTATTTAAGAGGACGTACTATAACTCGCTACTCACGTGACCGTTGCGCAGGAAATTGCGATGACAATAGTTATTATCGAGGCATCATTCGTCGCGACGTAGTCGCGCCACACAGTTTCCGAATTCCCCGAGCCCAGGTTCAATTGATAAATTGCAGTGCGACCTTGCACGAGTGGAAATTAATTAGGCGCATTAACAGAACGTGCGTTAACAAGCGTTAATTATTTGAAAATTATTAAACGAGTGAATTGATCAACGTGGAAAATTCTTTATTCCATTTATTCTCAATGTGTGCTTATAAAATACGCACGTGGCTGAAATACTGGCTTGTCCGTTAATAAATGCAATTCGGCGGATGATAGAGGCAGAAGGAACTTCTTTTTGAAATTAAAATACGCGGCGTGAAGATCCATTTGACATCTCGTTCGAATAATTTTTCACTCCTGTTGAACTTCATTTCATCGAGCCGTTAAAAATCGGGTGGAAACTCTTCGTGGAAAATCGTAGATGAGATCTGGATATGCTTGTGAATCGAGTGCGGTGCGCTTGAAATTCATACAATCTCAGTATCTGTAAGTGTGAGAAATGCCAGAACCCCTTACGTGACTGGCGTCATCGGGGCCGCGCGAGTCTGTTTATCTTATGGAATCCTCACACCATACTCTTACCTGCCTTAAGTCAAGTGCGGTCTGGAATGTAAAGAACCCCTGCAATAGTCTAAGATTACATGCCTCAAGTGTAGCGTTACGAAGTTTTCGATAGGTGTAGACGTAGGGTGACTCGCAGGCCTGCTGCATTCAGGGACTGTCTGGTCCCTTCTTTTTTTTTTGTACGGCTCCTACTTTCCTGACCTCAGTTTCTTGATCTGCCTCAAGCAGACGAAGAATTTATTTCAGACTTTCAATTCGGTTCGCTGCTCTCTAATATCTCGAGATACGCCGCAGCAGGTGTCCTAAATTCAACACATTTTTCTTTACTTTCCTGTTTTTATGAAAGTCATTAGTTGCAATAGTATCGACCGAATAGCCACCATATCTTACATTTTTTTTCAATTTACATTTTGATATTTCTATTACTATTTAAGCTGCTATTTAAAAAAACCTTAATAATTGTGAATTTATAATATATAATATAATATATAAAGCATTGCAAGTTTCTTCCTCAATTTTATGTATCATTCTATTTACAAAATTCGATTAATTCTTATCAAGATGGAATCACATGTTGGAACAAATTGTAGATACACCGCATCGCTCAGAGATCGTCCAGACTTATGTAAACAACTTAAAACATTGGTTTTTCTCGGAATTCATTTTGCTGTCATTTTTTTTTTAAGTTGACAACATACGTGTTAATGTTATCTAAGTACACTGTGCAGGAGGGCGAGAATTCGAGACAGGAAACCTTACGTTCACTATCGAGGTAAATAGGGCTTCATTGAGATATGTTTATCCTCATACATAGCATTGCGCGGCAAAACGAGATGCTCGTTATATAAATGAAAATTAAGAGTCGTATGTTTTGCTGCCGACTACTGCGACATTGCAGATAAACATTTTTTATCAGGCATGTTATTCGCATTGCAATTTCACGATGGTAAAACGCGATGGCTGACTAATGATGACTTTATCAATTGACACCGGTGGGCGTAGATCACGAATCACAAATAGTATCGCCGATAGCATGACAAATTCATGTAATTTGATCGCAAGTAGATATTACTGACTCATAAAGAAAATAAAAAAGTTTATTGCAAATTAGACTTTGCTAAATACAGCATTGCATATATCGAAAATAATAATAAAAATATAGAATTTTTAAGTATGAATATTTATTTACAAATTCTTGAAAATTTGGGAACCTTCTTTTTTGTAATATTTAGAAAATCTCTCAGTTAATAAATATTTGATATTCTATTTTGTTTAACCTAATAATTTTAATTAATTAATTCATACATTCACGTAATGCGATTATATAAACTTCAAAAACAAGAGCGATTCATTTTATAAAATTAATGAATAACGAGATTTATGCGGAGTAATGAAACGAAACAGATTTTGTTGAAAATACTTTTATAGATTAAAAACAATAATAAGCAAACATTATTTGTAGATATATAATATAGAATATTACAGAATATATGAGAGAGAGAGAGAGAGAGCGAGATATGTATATTGATGTGTATTGTGCCAGATTTGCCAATTGACTGAGAATTAAAACCTTTACATTTCTGGATATAAGCTATCTCGAAATAATTAATTAATTGGTATTCGCAAAAAAGCTCAATTGAATCTTGAATATCATTCAAGAATTTCTTACTTTTCGCAAGTTGCAACCGCATTGAGTGGTCTTTAAATTTTGCAGCAAATCGTATGTGTTTGCGACACTCGTTACATACAGTTGATGTGTACAGCAATTATTTCACAGACTTTTACATAATCAGCATAATTATAATACTTCAATAAGACAAGATTTCCTTAAGACAATCTAACCAGGTTTGGATTAAAATGTTATGTTTTCAAAATATGTTAAATATTTTTTTTTTCTAATGCATACATTCAAGAAATAAATAATTATAATAATTAAATATTAATTAATAATACAAAGATAAATAGTACATAAATTACAGAAAGAGAACCGTGATAAGTTTTAGTTTAATACAAATTTTCTCTGTTTTTTTTATCTTATTATTTAATCTTATTATTTATTATATACACGGTTGCAGTCTAAAATACATTTAAGAATATATTCTATTTAATCTTTTAAAAAAAAAATAAAATGTGAAATATTTTATAAAGAGATACGTGTCAAACACATTTTAATAACTGTCGAATATAGAATTTTGATATCTCGATTTTTAGAATAAATACACGTATCGGAGAGTTCTGTTTTGCTATGAGATTTAAATTTCCATGAACACTTTTATATCTTGTAAAAGAAAATTTAGCTTACCGGTCATATCACACTTACAGGAGCAGTTACGAAAACGGAAAGATGAGGAGGAAAGACAGGAAATGCTCAGCCGTTCTCTCCGTGGCTCTAAAAAGCTTCAAGCTTTGGAGAGCCACGCGACGAGCCTCAGTGGCCAGGGAAATCTTGCTTATGCACAGGACGAGGTGACCACCGGCGTCAGTCGAATTACACACGCCACTCCTAATGCAATCCAAGAAGTGGAGGAGCCGCCCAGGCCTCTCAGTGAGTAATTTTTCTTTTTCAAATATATTCTCGCAGTTTTCTCTAAAAAGAAAATATTACAAGAAGAAAATGTAAAAAGAAAAACAAATAAACTTAATTAAGAAAATTGAATATAATACAGTTCATATTCTTTATTTATTTTTATATTAATATTTAAGATTTTTTAATTTTGTATTGTTTTATTTGAAGAGAATTTTTTACCTATTCTATCTCATTTGCATTTAATTTCATGAACTTACAAACGCGAAAACGGTATTTAAAGAATTCTGAAAGTTGTTGAAAATTGAATGCTACTAAATATAGTTCCTTGCTCTTCCCTTATAGCCTGCTTGTGTAGCGTAAATAAACAGCGGGTGTGGCGGCACAGGATTCCGCAAGGAAGTTTCTAACAAGTATACCTTTCATATTTCAGCGTACGGCGAGGTCGTTGCTACGCTGGAGAGGCTGCAGCTCCAACTGCGGAATATTTCAGGTGCTCTCGGTATTTCGGGTCCAGGTGTCGAAGCCGAGCTCGAGGCAGTCCGAACACTTTTAGTGCAGAATCGATTTGCGTCTGCCCTGGCGACTCGTCATACTTTAAAAAGTCGACTAAGGACGAGCAAGATTTTCAAACATCATGCCGATGATGCATCGAATTTAGCGCGAGATGTATGTATAAAATTGATAATTTATAACATAAAAGAGAAGATCTATAATATTATTCATGCTATTCAATACATTTTTGTTTACTAATTAAAAATTTTTTCTAATCGTGAAGCTAGTATACGACATTGTGTATGTAATTTAATTAGAATAATGGAAAAGCTTATTAAAATTGTTTTCTCAAATATTTTAATAATGATGTTTTTTTTTGTAATTTCTATTTAATTAAATAGAGGCCTTTTTCCAATGAATTTTAAATATAAATGTATAATTCAGAAACTGTATCCCATGTCATATATTTTTAATATATTATTTATCCAACAAATCTCTGAAGGACCTTCTTACGTATTAAATATGTTATTATTATTTACTTGTTTCGATTTATGTCATAATTCTAATGCTTTGGCGTTCTGATGTTTCAGTGCGTGGATATCCTTGAAAAATGGCAATCGTCGTCGACCGCAACAGGTGTCGGCGGAGCAGAAACAATAGCCGCCGTGGAAGAGTTAACGAGTATTCTAACAAGTTACGACATGGAGGCTCTGCTTCTGGCGCACGACTCTATCGTCTCCTACGTGGAAGGTTTACAAAGGAAGCAAAGTCCGTCCTCTCCACCCAGTGACCCGCCTAGTCCGACGTCTAGTTGGAAAGATTCCCGTGTAGTCGACAACATTAAAATTATCCGAATTGAGAAAACTAACGAACCTTTGGGTGCTACCGTCAGAAACGAAGGGGATGCGGTAATCATAGGTAGTTATATTTACATGCAATTGTCATTTCCTCTATCTCTGCTAAAAGTATACCGGTGGTTTACTGAATATTTGTCGTATAATCTTATCGTTCAATTCCGAGAACATTATTTCTAACACTAAAATTAATTCTGTCTTTCAAGGACGTGTCGTTCGTGGTGGTGCGGCAGATAAGTCAGGACTTCTACATGAGGGCGACGAGGTTCTCGAGGTAAACGGAGTAGAAATGCGCGGCAAGACTGTCAACGAAGTTTGTGATATTCTTGCTGGCATGCAGGGTAGTCTCACGTTCTTGGTACTTCCGGCTCCAACGAGCCACAGAAATAATTTAAGGAGAGAAGACACGACCCAGGTACGACATATACAGCACACATCCTGATATATTTAGAATATTCTCGTATTAGAAATGTAGACTATCGTATCCGTGGATCTTGAATTAGAACAACCAATATTACCGGTGATGATATTGGAGGTGAAAGGGCAAATGTCAAATAGAAAAAACATTTGTCCTTCAACTTCCAAGATATAAATGACATTAATCGTTTTTACATTTGAATGTCTTTTTACGATTTCGATATCTGTCAAGAAAATCAATATTATTTAGTCATTCTGTCGTTCGCTTAATTAAAGTTTGTTCAGTGCATCTACTTTGACTGAACCAACGTACGTATAAAAGCGAATATACATATAAGCATATGACATTTGTTCTCTTATCTTAACGACACGACATTGATACTTGTAAGTTACTCGTACAGAAATTATCTTTAGATCGATGCTAATAAGAAACAGCTGGCTTTATTGCACGGACACAACGTAGATATAACATGACATTTGTAACCATAAAGCTTTTACTTTTATTTGCATCTAGATACATATACGAGCGCATTTCGATTACGATCCCGAGGAAGACCCATACATACCGTGCAGAGAGTTGGGCGTAAGCTTTCAAAAAGGTGATGTACTCCACGTAATTTCTCAAGAGGATCCTAACTGGTGGCAAGCATATCGAGAGGGTGAAGAAGACCAGACACTGGCTGGTCTAATACCCAGCAGAGCGTTTCAACATCAGTAAGTTAATTATAATCGAAGATTATAATCGCGCCAATACTTAAATATTCCATTGAAAATGGCATTCTGTTTTACCTATACAGGCGAGAATCCATGAAGCAGACGATAGCTGGTGACAAATCGACGATGCGAGGTTCGAAAAAATCTAGCACGTTATTGTGCGCCAGAAAAAATCCAAAGAAGAAGAAACGAAACAAGTTCGGCGCGAACTTCAATGACGATGGATATCCACTTTATGCAACAACTGCCATAGACGGTATGTAAAGCCTAAATTGACTGACCTAATGTCAATTATAAATTGTTTAAAGACTATTCTTAGACGCAAAGTTTTCTTGCAGATTACGACAGCGAGGAAGTGCTGACGTATGAGGAAGTCGCCTTATACTATCCTCGTGCAAATCACAAGAGGCCAATTGTACTCATCGGACCACCCAATATCGGACGGCACGAACTTAGGCAGAGATTGATGCAGGACAGCGAACGTTTTGCTGCAGCGATACCACGTAAATGTCATTTTTTTTTAAATTTAATTTAACTTAATTTATTGTACTCTTGAAATATATTGACAATAAGATGTACATACATAAATGTGAGATAGACACAAAAGGTAAGACACCAGCAATGCTGTTGCTATAAAGCCTACCTGATAAACTTGATTAACTTGAAATTAATTGATTAACATGACTGACTAAGATAATATATTTTGTATAATGTGAAGCTAAGATTATTATAACCAATAAAACAATTAAATAATTAATCTGCTATGAATATTTACTATTTTATACACGGAAAAACCGATCTTGTTAAAGTATTTAAAAATTTAGATCTGAAAATGTTTTAAAAGAAATATCTTAACCTAAATAAAGCATAAAAATAATCTAAATAATACATTCCATTTCTTCGATTTCTAGATACAAGTCGTCCAAAGAAAGATTCCGAAGTCGATGGGCAGGATTACCATTTTATTTCTCGTGCTCAGTTCGAGTCCGATATTCTTTGTCGGAAGTTCGTCGAGCACGGCGAATACGAGAAAGCATATTACGGCACGTCCGTGGAGGCCATCAGGACAGTGGTTAATTCCGGGAAAATCTGTGTCTTAAACCTGCATCCCCAGAGTCTCAAGATCCTGCGAAATTCGGATCTAAAGCCGTATGTTGTGTTTATCGCGCCTCCGAGCCTCGAGAAGCTTAGGCAGAAGAGGATCAAGAACAACGAAAGCTTCAAAGAGGAAGAATTAAAAGACATAATCGAGAAGGCCCGTGAGATGGAGGATAAGTATGGCCATCTATTTGATATGCTTATCCTCAACAACGATACGGATCGGGCGTATAACCAGCTCCTCACGGAGATTAATTCGCTCGAGAGAGAACCTCAGTGGGTGCCTGCGTCTTGGGTTCAGTAACTTAAGCAGTCTTAATCGCCGCGCTTAAGACGAGCGTTTCTATACATGTCTCAACGGTGAGGACGGCGATCGGAGGCCAGTATTGCGGTATCTGTTTGCAAGACAAGTGCTTTCACGCAATTTTCCAAGTAAGACTTCAAGCAAGTCTGACAAAAATTCGGAGAACTGGTTCTTCTACAGGTGCCTGTTACATAGTTTTATGTTTCTTACGCAAATCTTAAATCTTCCCCGGTTATTATATTGCAAGTACTACTCGCCTGACAGAGTCTTCCGCGCGTGTTGTCGTACTTTGGTGCCATGAAAATGACGGAGCAATCTTCAAAGGGAGAAAGGGAAGAAAAGAAATAGAAAAGAGAATGAATGTTCTGCAAAAAATTTTCACAACCTTTGTGACGAACTACTCCTCGACGTAGATTCTTGCATTTGTTATAGAAGAAAAAAAGAATATGGTATTTATATACCATATTGAAATCACAGTGAAAGAGATAGTTTTCGAGACTCGGTTGCATGTCAATGATGTTTCGAATTTAAGCGAATATGTAATCAAATCGCGGACGATAATCTGACGAAAAATTTAAATTTAAGTTCCGCTTAAATTTCAAACAGAATTGCTGCGATTTAGTCTACTTTTGGTATCCCGAGATAATTCCGATTGAAATACGTTCGTACGTCGAAGAGGTATTTACGGTTAAATTCTCATGACTGACCCATTCCCTAAGCGGTTAATATTATTATATTAGATGCGCGAGTATACAAAAAGTATCATCTTTTCGGTGCGCCAAAGCACATCTGCCGAGCATTTTGCTCTTTCTACATATTAGCCCGTTCTACATGAGGAAGTGTACCTGACCTGATGTCTCCTAACAGTGAAAAATTTCTAACTTAGGGAACTCGTGAAAATATCGTGTAATTTTCTATGATCTACGCACATACATTTTGATAAATTTTAATAAGTGGAATCGAAGCTTCGATCCAGATTTTTTAAAAGATTCTTGTTCAGCGTAGCACGTGCGAATATATTAACATTACATTATTAATTCTGCGTAATGTAATTAATTCTTTTTATGTTTATCGCGAATCAGTCTCACACACACACACACACACACACACACACACACACACACACATATCGAACTTTTGCATACGATCATAGAGAGTTGCACGTTTTTTCACGTGAAATTTTGGTTAGAAATTTTTGGCAGTCCTGTTATTCTAATCAAGCGGAAGCTCTTATTATAAAGGAAAAAAAAAATTCCGAAACGACGATCCCACACGCATAACGACGCACTTTATGCGTTTCTTCGAACGCAAGAGGAAACGTCTGCGATGTCGAAAAAGGCGAAACTCGCTAACGTTTTATCGTTCGCCCTAGACATTTGTTTGTTTAGAGAGCAGAAACTCGTGTTTCGAACCTGTAGATTCGTTAAACGCAATAGACTTAGGCTCGACTGTGACTTCGGTATATAAGCTTTTGAAAATTTCGCATAAAACAATTATTTCTCCTAAGTGTTTTTTTACAGGGAGCGATTATTACGCAACGCGATTGAATAGGATAAAAAATGTTTATCTGTGTCATTGTATCGCTACGAAAATAGGGATCGATGCGAAATAGAAAAGAAAAAAATGTGTAGTAGAGAAAGAGAAAGAAAGGCCATTGTGGTTTTTCATTGGAAATTATTCGGTAAATGCAAGTGCGCGATGTGTATCTTATAAATATATCTTGCGTTAGCAATAATTGTGTATTATATCGGAAAGTAACTTTTCTGTATTTTTTTCTTTTCTTCGATGACTTTAAGAGCTCCGGTAAATTCGGCAAAGATGTGTCGTTCGTATAGAGATTGTGGGCTATTGTATCGTGATTAGATCAACTGTGTAATGTTAGTCGATCCAGAGAGAAAAAGATAGATACACTAAATTCAATGTGAAACAGTCGTAAAAATGGACGCGCGACTTAGAGAGATGTGTCTACGGTGAAAAAAAAATCGTTATTTCAATTTTTAGCTATTTAAAATCGATCTTCTAAGAGCCAATCAATGCATGACGGTCCAATATCGTGCCACGTATCAGACCGCGTGTGAAAGGACGCAAGCAAGATGTGCCAAATAATCCTGGATTATTTCCAGATGAATCCAAGTTTTAAAATGCGCTCAAGAGGCACCCTAGAATTTGTCATTATATTGATTATGTAAATAATTGTGCACTTATGTATAGAGAGAAAGGAAGCGAGAAAGAAAAAGATAGAGAGAGAGAGAAAGAGGAAGGGAAGGATAGTTATTCGAATTCATCATTATTAATTTTTCTAATTATTATTATCCGAATTATTATTATTATTATGATTATTCTTGCATGTGCTGTTTTGTCGAGTGATCATGGCAGACAAATGCCGAAAAATAACGTATAACCGCCCTGCGTAATGGACGGCACGTATTGTGTATTAAATAAATCTCGGATACACATTTGTATCAAATCAAGCGAATCAAATTTTTTCGACAGCAATTCTTCACTTGGCAAACCTGTACTAATTATGATTACGTCATAATTATGATCATTATACGCATGATTATGATTACCATCACGATTATGTAAACAACAACGGTGAAAGTATGTACATTATTATTCTTACAATTATTGTTATTATTATTATTATATATTATTCATATTATTATTAATTATATTAATTCCACGTGTAAAATAAACGTACAATTTCAAAGAGGAGAAATATATGTATGAAGGAGAGAAATATATACGAATATGTATATACATCGTATATACATGCCCACATATATTGCGAGAGCTACAAGATTATCAAACCTCGAATATGTGTCCCGAAAGAGTCTTGATTGTAGATAATATATTGTTTCCATTGTTAACAATACCATCTCTATTCATGTTAATCTTTTCTGTTCGTAAAAAAAAAAGACATTTGACCATCGATGACAAGGTATTCTCTCGTAGTATTTTCGTACCAAGCCTAACATTCCCGTCTTTAATTTAGTTTTAAATTTATTTCCGATTAACAATTGGATATTATTGAAAAAAAAAAGTAACATACGAATATTATTATTCGTAAGTTTACTTGATGAGAAACTTATTGCAATATTTTAGTACAGGATGCATTTTGCAAATGGATTTTGTAATGTTTACACGAATGCCTCTTTTACCAAACAAAATAGCATTTGCAGTTGGCAGTCAGTGATTGACGTTGCGGTTCCACAGAGTGAATAGCAGCAGTCAGTAGAGAAAACAAATCATAACGCTCAGTGATTCTTTAATATGATTGATTCTTACTTTTAGATCTAGCAAAGAACTAAAGGCAAGAACCAATCATATTAAAGAATCACTAAACAATAAAACTGTAGTTATATTTCCGACCTATTTAACGAGCTCTATATACTACATTTATTATTAGCCTATGCCGATTCATATAATCCACACTATAGGAATTGGAATAACAGAGAGCTAATTATATGCTGATCAATATGAATCAATAAATTCGCATGACATTAGCATCCCCTCTTTGCGATTTAATTAATTCTTTAAATCTTAATAAGAATAGTTTATCATATCATCTGAGAAGCAATTGGATTTTTTCGCTCATTTCACCAAACTTACTTTATGAATTTTATTGTTATACTGAAGTGTATATACGATTGCTGAAATGACGGTTTGGCAGTGGCGCTGCGAGACGGGGTAAGACGGTACATGCTCGAATTTGTAAAAAAAATAATGCATTTACATTATTATACCAAGGCTAAAACTATTTTAATTATAATTATCCAGATAACACGCTTGTTTAAAAAATAAGATATAAGACGTAAAAATATCTTAAAGACGTTTTTCCACAAGACGTCTAAAAGATGTCTTATGTCTCGATTTGGATCTTTTTGTTATCTATAAAGCACTGACTTCATTAAAAACGATATAATCTGACAACAATTTTTCAGGACGTTTTGTCAAGAACTTCGTTATCATCAGCTCCCAAAGCTATCTTTCCATCAGCAAGCGGCTAGATTACCATTTTTACATTTTATTATATAAGTTATCACAAAAAATTTCAACTTTGGCATTATGAAGCTAATTATTTTTTTACACGATTGAAGGTATACCATCATGTTGCGTCCCAATTAAAGGATTGCTGTTAAATTATGATTATATCGTTTTTAATGAAGTCAGTAATTAATAAAAAAAGTTTTAGTCTTCGTATTATAACGTGAGTGCATTATTTTCTTTCTTTTTGTACTTGAGCATGTATCATCTTTCCCCATCCCCAGAGCCACTGCCAGACCGTCATTCCAGCTATTCTATTTCGATATAATAATAAAATTCATGTTTGGTGAAATAAGTGAAAAAAATCTAGCTGCCTTTTGAACTAATAGGTAATTTCTGTCCTTCAATCCTTGGCACCATTATTGGATCTCATAAGATATCGCGATTTTTCAATGATATTCCTTCACCCTTGAACATTGTCGGCTGCGATTTCATCGCTTTGACAGGAAACACCGTCAACAACTCTTGAGGCCGCCGCCGTCGCTGCCGTCGCCAGGGGCGGTGGGTGGTGTGGCCGCGCGCATGTTTCTTCTTCGATGGAAATGGATCGATGCTGAAAATAGCTCGGTCCGCAGGAGAGTACGAGGTGAGTCGCCTTCGCTTTCGGCACGGCCTTTGCGTCTCTATCGACGCTTGCCGCCGCCGCCGCCACCTTCACCGTCACCGTAGCCGACGCTCATTTTCAGCTAATAACTCATTTGTGTAACTCGTTACCTCTGACTTCTTGTTTATCCAATCTTCCGCATCCGGCGCGGCCGCCGCCGCCGCCGCAGTCGCCGCCGCCGTCGCCGCCGCCGTCCAACATCGCTACCGCTACTGTCGTCGCCGTCATTCTTTTTTCACGAACCAAATACGCCGGCTGCGAGTACCGAACTACCTCGAACCGCGATCCAGGACCTAAGTCGAGCGGGATGACGCGGAAAAAATGTGTGTCGTATCAACGTGGCTGATGAGGCTGAAATCGTAAGTATTACACGACCTCGGTTTAGCGAAGCCGCCGCCGAAAGGCGAACGAAGGTGCCACCCCCGGTGGACGGCGGGCGCTCTCGCATATTCGACCGGATTGATCGCCACTCCGGCATCTCCCTGTAATCGCGCAGCGCATTTACAAGTCGCATAATATTTTCGTAGATTCACAAAATTTTTCACGTTTGCAACAGGCGACTCTATTCATTGATCTCATATCGTTACTTCCGATGCATAATTGTCATTATGTGCATTATACTTTATTCCAAATCGAAAATAACTCTTCGTCCACTTATTCGCGATTAGATTAGATACGAAACGCGTATACTATAATTCTAAATTCTAGAATTTAGATAATCTTGGACGCATTGCTGAATTCCATCATGGTATATACAATTACTAGTTGCACGTTTAATTAATGTCGCCGCAAATCGATGGTTTATAGCTCTCATGATATAACTTACATAGTAATAGACATCCTAGATTGAAATTAGAAAAGAAAGATCGAGCTAATTTATATTTTTGACATTCCGTGCATCGTGCACGAGAAATGTCGTTAATTCTATTTATGTATTTCATCTGACACATATCTACTTTCTTTTGATCTTCTTTTGGCCTCCTAGCAGTAGCTTTAAAGAACATATTATTGACTTTTAAGTTTGATTTACATCATTTGATGATATATATCTTAGTGATTAGTTATTATTTTATTGGGATACTATATAGAAAGGATGGGATTACAAATTTTACTTTTTCAGTTTCTCGAGCATGCTTAATTTATATCAAGTTAAATTTGCACTTAAACGTAAGTTAATCAACAATTTGAATTATTAAATGTCTTATATGATTGCTTATACGAATCCTTGCCTTTGGAGAGATTTTGAAAAATTGAAATATCATAAACGCCGTACAGTGCGATTCATTGTTCTCTATAGAAACTCAAACGTTTTATTGAACTTTTAAAATCTGCATGCAAAGTACGAATTATCGGCATAGCGCTGCTTTTAAACTCTTTCGGTGGAGATAAAATTAGATTCGGCGAAGCACTCGCGTGTTTCTTGAGGCGCTCGTAGTCCCCTGTGTCTCGATGAATGTGACTGACACAGCAGCGACTACTGTGGCAAGACTTAATACACGGTGAACCGCAATGAGACTTAGAAGACCTGATCGATTACGGTGCAGGAAAAGTAGTCTTTGGCAGTCTTTTGCGTATCCCCCATCTTGTTCTTCTGTTGATCGACTGCACCGCAGGAAAGATACGTTTAGCAGCTTCTCTTTAAGTACTGCGTTTATAGAGTATTGATTTTTATCGTCGCGTGTTGCGTATTATCTCATATTTTCGAAAACTTGTTACTTTTCTTTCATGAAACTGTTTCTCGGAGTTTTTGTTGTATTGCAAGTTGTAAGTACTCCGATATTCTATGCCAAAAATATTTATTTGTTCGAAAAAATCTCACAGATAAAAAGATGGAGATGTCTATATATTATTTTATAACAAATAATATAATATATTAAAATAAATTTTATACGCTTTTAAGATAAATTTTTATAGACATGTAAAATAGACATGTTCATATCGTTAGCCATTTTTTTATTATTGTTATCATATAACTGTTGAAATTACAATCGAGAAACGAGATATAATCGAAATTAATATAATATTATACTCTCAAGTTTCTCTTATTCAGGACCTCGTGACAGACTTCAGGTAGAATGTGTAAGTGACAAGTGCTGGCAAAGCCCTCGAGAGATATCGTTACAGTTAATACGTTACCTTTACTTACAATATAGCTTTATGATAACTGCAATTGGTTATTGAATTCAAATCTTTTCGTTGACGGTATGACCTAATTAAGTAATGAATAAGATAAAATTTAACGATATTGTCCGATGACGCACGAGATTTTTCCTTGTCCTACTCTTTATTTATTTATTTTTTCCTAAACGTATAAATAATTTCTATAAACTTTTTTTATATTTTATTTTGTAACACATAATTTGACGCACATAATTTGAAAAAATGCATGACACAATATAGAATCGCTAACTGTCCTGTACTCGATATTCTGATTAAAAATCTGATAAAGTTTTTACTTGATTCTGCACATCGTAGTCTGTGCTGCATTAGCTCTTTAATTATTGTTTTCAATTTGTTTTAAATCTGATAAAATTGCACACTATAATAACTTAAGTACAATGACATTGATGTTTAATGTGACAAATATATTATTTGTTTTAAATTTTTAAAAAAGTTTTTGCAAATTTCAATATACGCGTTAAAAGTTTTTACATATAAAACTGCAAATGTGCTATTTATTATTTGTTTCCCCACCCATGATTTCGATTTATAAATAATTCTTTGTAATCAAAGTAATTGCACTTTACAAATTGTTATTTGGAAAATCTGATGTAACTTTAAGGCATAATCTACTGCACTTGTATTTTTTAATTTCTAAAATGGCACACTATATTAATCATTAAAGACACTTTTTTAATAATTTGTAGAAAAGTTTTAAGTAAACACATATTTATGTTAATTTGATTTAGTAGAAAAAATGACAACTAATATAATTTATGTATTACCGATAATATTATGTAAATATATTAATTAAAAAAGTCAATTGATTAATTAAATTTCTTTCATTAACCAGCATTAATTGTAATTTTAATTATACAAAATCCAAATAATACCTCTATTATCGAAGATATGTATGTCTCTATTTCTGAAGTATCTTGTGTTGTATATGATAATATCGATTCATGAACGATACTAAAGAAATACTTTGACAAACAAAATAGAAACAAATAGAGCACTTGGATCTTTAATTAACGAAATGAGTCAAAGTGTATTAAACATTCATGATATGCATAATTTACTTCCATTTAGCTATGTAGAAGAAGCAAAAGAAACACTGACATAAGTCACTGTCGATCGCTTTAATCTAGAACGTCTAACAGGAATCGGTTTGACCTAAACGTTATCTGAAATTTAAGAAATTCTTCATGACCTTTGCCACTGGATATTTCTTTTTTTTTTTAAATTATTTTATGCTACTTGTTGTAGCACATTATGTTCGCACATAATACAACGAAATATATCTGTTATGCAAGTGGCAATTCAACATTTTCTGATAAAGTTATTTATACAAGAACAAAATCCAAATTGATTTATATTTAATTTTAATTTCTTGATTGCTCTGCTTTTACTTTAAAATTTAGACTGCAATCTAATAATTAATATTAATAGATTAATATTAATTGCGATGTAATAATATTTTATAAAAATATTTGCTGGGTACATTACCGATGAATTTCTTTTTGTTGCTAGAATCTGCTCGTTTGCTTTTTCGCATATCGATTATAATTTTGTGACACACACATATACGCGAATTCACATCACATAAATACGTATATGTGCATCACTACGTTGCAGACCAAGGCTAATTCACAGCCGAAATTGCTCGGCGACCCGTGATGAAAACTTAACTACGTCGAGGGATTTGTGCGTGTAAAAGGATGCTCTTACCGTCGTCAAAGAGTAATATATAGCACATAGAAAAAACAAAAGTGTCACATTTAAGAATTTTATGATCGAGAGGAGTTTTCATTTTATCCTCCATCCCCTTTAATATGCGTACCTCTTCTATCAACTGACACATTTTAGTTTACGATTTTTTTCTCGAAGCTCGCCATGCGAGAACATCGAAAATAGAAAGTATTATATTACATGTTTATCGTTTTATTGATGATCCGTTGCTGTACCACACGCTGGTATATTAATTAAATTGTATCGACACTTGTAAGTTTGGTGTATATCGATTAAAATGCAAATATACACGTGTGTCACACGATTATAAGCTTATCAGGCGTCAGCGTATATAGTTTGTAATCTATCTATTGATGCATTCTTGTTTAATTTAACATAAAATAATAAGACGTAAGACAGTTAAAAACATTTGTAAATTATTACTTTCACATTTGCATCGTGCGTAATAATGTACGATTTTAGACATTCTCATGAAATATGCATCGTATTGTTACCGAATTCACCGCAAGTCAACGTCATTGAAATACAATGGAAATATGAAAATCTTGAAATTCCATGACAAAATGTAAAGAACATTTCTCGGCGAAAATCTAATTTATCGGCTTTCTATATAAAGCTTTAAAGTCTTCGACGATTTTGACAGGTCTGGTAGGTCATTTGTGAAGCAATTAGATATCATTCATAGAGCACATCTCCAAGAAATGCTGTTAGAAATATTTCGCCTTTATTTCGACCGGTCGCTATTTTTGCTTATCGAACGGAATTGAGTTGAGGACCAGGCAGAAAAACATTCGGTTACTGCACTACGATCGATTGGCCTCTTTTGGCAATGATCCCGCATTGTCACTCTCTATTTGGAGACGTAAAGTACTATAGCTAATGACTCGATGATTTTTAAATCGATTTTCATAGTATCGTAATTATGTAGAAATAATTAAGAAATTTTAATTATTTGACCTAAAATATATAGAATGTTTTGCATCATCTATTCATGAAATTGCACAGTATAATTATAAAAATGTAACAAAAGTGATTTTTTTCCAAAAATGTTTTAATCATGTTTATCGTTGGAGAAATGTATTTTTCATAAATAGTAATAAATTTCATATTTTTGTGCAATAATCTGGATTTTTATTTTCAGAAGCCTCTCACGCACCACAGTAGGTCTTAGAGGATGCACAAGTTAGCCAAGGGGCTGAAGAAGAAGAAAAAGCCGAAGAAGGGCAAGAAGGGAGCAGAGGAAGAGGAGTTTGATCCGGAAGAGCTCGAGCGTTATCGGCGCGAGCGGGCAGAGGCCCAACAGAAAGCCGAGGAAGCCGGCGAAACAGCCAAAGGTACCGGATCTGACGAGTGGAAAAAGTTCCAGGCTTTGACTGCTGGCGTCGATTCGGTTTTGAAGAAGACTCAAAATGATCTCGATCGGATAAAATCTACTTCATTCTTCCAGCGAAAAGCGCCGTTGGAAGAGAAGAAACCAGAGGAGGCAAAGCAAGAGGACTCCAACAAATCATCCTCAAAGAGGTGGATAGGCTTCGACAAGGAGGGTAATCCAATCGAAGCTGCACCGCCGGAGATCGATGGTCAAGAAACAAAGGAAGAAAAATCACTCGTTAACGAGGATGGTTTTGTAGACGTACCAGAAGACGAAGATGAACAAGAGGATTCCGCCGATGAGGATATCTTCGACACCACTTACGTCGACGTTCTTCAAAACATCGATGTTCAATTAGCTTACATACCAGACAGTCCGACTGAGGAAGAGACTGGGGACGATCCCTTTGACACTACCAATGCCGACAAGGTTCTTCGGACTGTCGATAAAAAGGGCAATAAGCTAGTTAGTTTAGGCAATGCTGTTGAGGTATTATCGGGAAGAATCGATTATGTAAGCACTTGCAAGATCACCAAAGGAAGGAGACCTCGAATTCAACAAGATCTATTGTTAGACGATTTTGACGAGGCGGAACAGCCGTTGGCGGAAACTGTAGCGGAACCGACAGAAGTAGAAAAGACTTTATTAGATGATGATAGCGATCTTCCCGATATTCCGGTTGATTTGACGAAATTACCACCTGTGCTACCAAGACCAGTCAGCCCCGTTATTCCTACAGTTATTCAAGAGAATTCAGCCTCGACTGAGAAAACATCGAATGGTCCACTTGATATTTCTGAATTCGAAATTTTGAAGGAGAAAACGATCTTAGAAGAAATTCCTGACTTAGATGACGCTGAATTTGATTTAAACGCTTCGCCAAATGATTCGACTTATCTCAAGGAAGCCGATGATCCATTTGCCACGAAGGAGCCCGAAACAACCGATTTTCAGACAGAGATAATTGAGGCCAGCTTCGAAGCGGCTACCTTTGTCGACGAAGCCGATCCGTTTGATACTACATTCGCGGATAATATATTACCAGGTAAAACAGAGCTAAAATTTATTGAGAAAGAACTTGAAGAATTGCCTGTCTCGGAAGTATCCATATCACTAACTGATCCCGCTGGTTTTAACAGAGATTACGAAACTGGCCTGTTGAAGTTAGATGGTGAACAGAAAAATGATCATAACAGTTTGCTATCAAAGAAGGACTTGTTAGGCGGTTCGACCACTGATCTTAGTCAATTGGCGGATGAACCAATAGCGCCTATTGAGGATATCACTTACGTTGATCCTTTTGATACGTCTGCAGTGAAAGAGCTTCCACCCGGCAAAACAGAACTCAAGGTTTTAGAAAAAGAATTACTTGGTGAGCAATCTAACAGTTGCGTCGAGGATGATAATGACTTTGATCCAAGGAAAGATGAGGCATCAGTAAAGCAGCTACCTACAAAACCGCCACCACCTAGACCATCTGCACCTGTTAAATTTGCGCCAGTTGAGCCTGTGTTTACTGTTAACTTTGAGGAGGACGAGAAAGTCGAAGCAACTCCAACGAATCTCGAGAGAAAGACTTCCCGGCCGGAAGTTCTTGAACTAGCTCCAACCAAAGCTGTTGCGTTTGAATTGCCGACGCCGTCAAAGAGACCCGACCTTCTCGCGACTACCGAAGAGGAGAAGACACTACCCTCTAAACCGCTGACACCGTACTATTCCCAGAAGTCAATAGAAGAGTCATTACCAACAGAGGACGATGAAGTAGATGTCGATCCATTCGACACGAGTTTCGTCAATAACGTCGCGCCAGGCAAGACCGAGCTCAAGCTCATTGAGTCAGAATTGTTGAGGCAAGAACCCAAGTTGCCTCATAGTTTGAGTGATCACGACTTTGATCCGAGATCTACCGCAGAACCAATCAGAAGACAGAGCGATTTCACGGCTACCTCGGTCACACCGAGCAATTTAAAACTTGTGCAGCTACAATCGTTGATACAAAAAGTCGAAGAGGAAGTGATACCAAAACAAGAACCTCACAGACAGGAGAGCATTTTGGATGCGGAAATCGAAGTCGATGCAAAACCTCTGACACCTAGAATCGAGAGTAAATCTATCGTGGAAGAGGAGATTTCCTATTCGGATCCTTTCGACACTTCTATCGCGACGAACATTCTGCCTGGTAAAGCAGAGTTGAAGATATTGGAAAGTGAATTACAGCAAATTCCTCAACAACCACCGCGCTCTATTGTTCTACCTACGGTGGTACCCATTGTAGCATCGACAATCCCAGAAATCGACGACTTCGATCCTAGAGCGGAAGAAGTAAAGGAGTCCAAAGATTTTTTGTTTTTAGACGGACAAGATCCCGGCGACAAAGTGTTGACGCCGCTTCAAAATAAAGATCTTACTTTGGACGACGACGTGGATCCCTTCGATACTAGCTTCGCTACTATCGAGCCTGGGCGGACCGAACTGAAATTGCTCGAATCCGAACTGATGAAGTAATATTATCAATTGTTATATACAGTTCTATTTTTTCAGAATCTTTAGAACAATCTTTTGAATATCTCGTTGTTAATCAAACTAAGTATACAAGTGGATTATTTCTTTTGAAGCTATATAAAGCTTAAATCCTTATGCTCTACTTATGTCAGCAATAATTTCTATATTATAATATTATAACGGGAGATTTCCAAAATGCTTATGTTAATTGATGAATTAAAATTATACCAAAAAATATCTGCCTAACACGCAGAGTATAAACAAACAGACTAAAATTAGTCTATTCTATTTTTATGGAAGTACAATTCAAAAGATTTCGCTTAACAATTGTTATAATTAATTTGTAATCGGAATTTTTGAGTCAATTCAATCATGGATTCCAAGGGTGGTAATCCGTTCTTAATGGACGATTATGCAACAGAACCGGGAGGTGGTTTACCTCCGCAGGCTTCTAATCCTTTTCTCCAAGATTTCACTGACGCGGCAACTTCCGGCGCAGGTGAGAATCCTTTTTTAAATTTTGGCAGCGATCAAACAGCATACGAACCACCGATATCCGTCGATTCTACTAATCCATTTGCCTCCTTTGGCATTGAAAGTACCGCTCCGAATACCGGATTCGGAGCGATCGCCGACACTAATACGCCAGCAACCAACGTCTTCACTAGCCAATCATCAAATATTTTCGTCACGTCCGATAATACGAATGTAGATCTATTTGGTACGATGACGACGACAACAGCTGAGAAACAACCGACGACGATCGTTAGTCCGCCTCAACCATCTCCAGCGGCAACACCTCCGTCGAAAAATGGAAAACCGCCGCCATCAAGACCACCTCCACCGAGACCACAACCACCACCGATACCGCATCCACCGGTACAACCACCTGCCAAGAACACGAAGGATCTGATATTGTCAGTTACGGGAGCAATGGACGCTACCTCAAACCATCTTCTGGATCGTTTGCAAGCAACTAGAACGCCCAGTCCCACGCTGATACACTCCCCGTCACCTACTCCGGAGCACAGCTTTGCCGATCTTCTGGACGTCGACAGCAATGTGCCAGATCTGATCCCAGATGATAAAGTTGTTGAACTGCCAAAAAATCAAGACATCATGGATCTCTTTGATGCACCTTCTGAAGTCACCTCGACCGGTATCTTCTCTACTTCCATGACCACTACGGATACTACCAGTCTTATCACTGGAGTTTCGATGACTGCTACTACCAAAGACAATCCCTTCGCAAGTATGAGCGAAGAGGCACTGGTACCGCAAGCGCAGCCTATTTTTGGAATGGAATATCCGGAAGATATTATTAGTAACGAGAAACGGCCTTCAGTGACTTCTGCGACTCCTTTCGCGGTCATAGAAACAGACATTAGACAAGGTACTGTCTTGGACCTCACGGAATCTGTCCCTGCGATTCAACCTACGTTGACAGCAGCTACTGAACTTTTCCAAGGTTAGAAAATTTCTTCTCTTTTTTTTTATTTATGGAAATAGAATAGATAAAAATATCAATTCATCTGAAATAATGTTACATTGCTTTAATTTTATTATATTTTACATAATTCCATCGTTAGGAGTAGAACAGGTTTCTACCGATGCTGATGCGAACTTTTTCTCCATGACCAATACAACCACGATAACGCCCTTCGGCATAATCGAAACCACGTCCGCACCCTTCGCAGCTGCAGTTCAGCCTTTATTTGCTCCATCGGAAGTCACACAGTCAGCCTTTGCCTCGGATCTATTAGGTGATTTCGAAGAACCGACCAAGAAGGTCAGCAGTGGCCTGATCTCCACCAGTCCGACTCCTGGAACAGAATTTCCTGGAAACGAGACTTACAGGCCCGAAGAACAATTGGATAACTTCGCCGCTACGACGAAGGCGATCGAGGATACTGGTGACTCATTCGATGCTTTTGCGTCCAAATTTGATAGGGCTGCTGAACCAGAAACCAATGGCGGAGATCCTTTCTTGGATGCCTTCGGTGGCGGACCAATCGCTATGGACACTTCCAGCGATGGTAGGTATATATGAAGACAACTTTTTTTTGCAACTTTATATTTTAACATTTAACTGTTTATAACCATTTTCTTTTCAGTTTGGGGAGACTCATCAGCAGCTGGCTCGGAAGCGACGATCACTGGTTTTGGAGAATCTGATGGTTTTGATTCTTTCTTGAGTATGACGGCTCCACCACCGGATACGAAAGTAAAAAGAGCTGAGTCTGCGGAATCGGACGAGGGACCCGATTTCAGTGTGTTTATCAAGTAAGTTAAAGAAAAAGCTACTGACTGAAAAGAAAAAAATTAAGAAATTTTAAATTGATATATTTCTAATGCTAGTCGTGAGATATTTAGTAATAACACCGAAAAATTATCAATTATTGTCTGAATTGCTGTACACAATTAGATTCAAGAACAATTAGATTCAAGTAATAATACTATTTCTAACATTAGTACATAGATAATATCAATTCTCTATTTATCTCTTAGACCAAAAGAAGGAGATCAGATAACAGCAGAAGGCGGACCTGTACCTACGTTAGCGCCGCCGCCAAAAAGTCCGCAGATCGCTGCGTATACAGATTCCTCGCCACGTTTCAATCCCTTTGATAAATCTGGAATCGCGCAGGATGCTGTGGTATCTGAAACTGCACAGACAGCCGAAATGGCTAGGACAGATTCTCAGGTATTCGCATTAGATAAATCATTATATCCCGCGTTACTTTAAATTGTTTCTCCATCAACCAAATATATTTTTACGCGCAGTTCTTGTCTTTTATTCTTTAATTAAATTAAAAGCATAAATAAGAAAAGAATTGTGCGATGCTTAAAATGCCATATTTGATTAAGTCCTATAGAGATAAGGATAGATAGATAAATGGAATAAAATATTTTTTTCTTATTTTAGGAAACCCCGCCTACTCCTTTATTTGATGAGGATGTTAGCCAACCGCTTGAGGATTTCCCGCGGATAACTTACACCGGCGATGGTTGGGAGATGCAATTGCGACAGCCGAACAAAAAGAAAATCACAGGGCAACGTTTCTGGAAGAAGATCTTTGTCAAACTGGTTTATCAGGGTGACAATCCGAGTCTACAGTTGTTCAATAATAAAGACGACAAAGATCCGTTTCAAGAATTACCTCTGCTCGCTTGTTATTCGGTGTCGGACATCGGCGCTCAACAATTTGATCAGTACGGGAAGATCTTTACAGTGAAGCTACAATACATCTTCTATAAGGAAAGACCTGGCGTGCGACCTGGCCAGGTTACGAAGGCGGAACGGCTTACAAACAAACTCAGCCAGTTCGCAGCGTATGCTATTCAAGGGGATTATCAAGGCGTCAAAGAGTTTGGGAGTGATTTGAAGAAATTGGGTCTTCCTGTTGAACACGCACCTCAGGCAAATTTTTTTAATTCTTGATATAAACCATTTCCAATGAATATTAAGCAGTACAATTAATACATCTGTACATCCTATATATGTATGCAGATCTCTCAGTTATTCAAACTTGGTTCCCAATGTTACGAGGACATGAAACAATTTTCTTGTGCTATCGAGGAAGCACTCTTCAGGTTACCGGCGCATCGTGATCGGGCTCTAACTTACAAAATGGAAGAAGTTCAGGTAACAGTCGTGGATGAGCTGTATGTCGAGCAGAACGCAGAGGGTCATGTAGACAAGCAAATCGCACGTGTTCGTCTTTTCTTCCTGGGTTTCCTTTCTGGTAAATATCACAACAATTACAAATATATTGCGCTACATTAAAAAAAATAAATCATAATTGAAAAATTGTGTTCTTACAATTTATATTTTTTATGAAACTTGATTTATTGTTTAGGTATGCCCGACATAGAATTAGGAATAAATGATATGTGGCGACAAGGTAAAGAGGTTGTTGGTAGGCATGATATCATCCCCGTCGTAACGGAAGAATGGATTCGCCTGGAGAACGTCGAGTTCCATTCATGCGTTCAGCAGGATGAGTACGAAAAATCAAGGATAATAAAGTACATATTTTACAATAATAAAATCGATAAGTAACTTTCTTCAGATAAAACATTAATAATTCTAACAATTTCTTCTTTGCAATTACAAATAAGCATCTTAATAATAATAGACTTAAAGTTCTTTATAATATAAGATACTTTTATTTTAAGACACTAACATAATTTTGCTTTTAACTAATCAACATGTGTGTATTTTTAACCATAAAATTATAAATTTATTTTACAACTAATACCTTACTAACATATATCTTCTAAGGTTCAAGCCACCTGATGCATGTTACATTGAACTGATGCGGTTTCGCGTAAGACCGCCTAAAAATAGAGAACTACCGCTTCAGCTAAAAGCTGTTATGTGCGTTACCGGGAACAAGGTAATTTTCCCTTTTTCCATTTTTTCACTTTCCATACAGTATTTAAATAAAAGCGAAAACTTCTTGTTGATTTTAGCCATCATCGTATCTTTCTTCTATCTCTTATATTAGGTAGTATCGTCATTCTCCGTTCTTTTATAAAAATATTATATTAGGCTTTATGTAAAACTTTTTTCTTTAAATCTTAAATTTTCTTAAAATTTCTTTTCATTCCTCTCATTCTTGCAACGCGTAACAAATTTTCATAGTGACATGTTTATTGGAGTTGCATCATTTGATCTCTTTTTATTTTTCAGGTGGAGCTGAGAGCAGACATTCTCGTGCCTGGTTTTGCATCCAGAAAATTGGGCCAAATACCATGCGAAGACGTGATGGTTCGCTTTCCTATACCTGAGTGTTGGATCTATCTCTTTAGGGTGGAGAAACACTTCAGATATGGTTCGGTAAAATCAGCACATAGAAGAACAGGAAAGATTAAGGGAATTGAGAGATTCTTGGGTGCTGTCGATACTTTGGAACCGCAACTGATGGAAGTAACTTCCGGCCAGGCGAAATATGAGCATCAACATCGTGCTATCGTATGGAGGATGCCCAGGTTGCCAAAAGAGGGTCAAGGTACATGCTTATATTTTTTTTTACTTAAACTGTATAAAAAAATCTAAGCAGTAAACGGTCGACCAATCACAGTCGAGAACGTAAGACAATAATGTAAGTAGTAGCGAATAACATAATTGATTTGCTTACTGCTTACGCTTTTCTACGTGTCACTATAGCGTCAGTCGAGATTAACAAATTATTCTAATTTTTGTTTCATTGTTAAAAAATTTTTATATTATACTTTATATTTTTTATGCTATTTTATTCTGCTTCGTGAACTAAAAAACTGAAGTCTGGAAGTCTGAACAATACGTTTACTAAACGTAAGAATATTTAGATTCTGCATAAAAGTAAAAATTTTATGCATAATGGTTTAAATATATGTTCAAATCATCGTCCAAATGATTGCTGCTGGCTCTTGGCCAATTTCAGTTATTTGCGGTTATTTCTAGGTGCGTACACGACGCATCAGCTGGTTTGCCGTATGGCTCTCACCTCTTACGATCAGATCCCCGAAAATCTTTCGGAATATTGTTACGTAGAGTTTACAATGCCGGCGACACAAGTATCTCATACGACTGCGAGGAGCGTCAGTCTCCAGAACAGTGACAGTGATGCGCCCCCAGAGAAGTATGTTCGAAATTTGTCGCGTCACGAATACAGGTAAGCTCTATTATTTTAATATTATAAATTATATAGCAAGAACTCTCCAAGCTTTTATATCGTTGAATTATTCGATTATTAAAATTAATAAGCGTTCCTATAAGAAGACAGCCGAGTGTCATCCAGGTACCACTCCATACTTGTTGTTTATCGAATGTTAAACAAAGATAACATGACACCCGGATGAGAATTCGAATATATTTCTAATTGTTTCTTTTTATTATTTTCTTTTTATTTAAATTAATATTATTTGAGTATTGCTGTATTGTCAAACGTTATTTAGGGTAGGGATTGAGCATACGCAAGGTGAAGGGCCGGGTGCGTATGTCTCGGCGACGATCGCAACGAAAAAAATCCCTGAGACCATGCCAGAAGTTCAAGAAACGCCCGACGCACCGGCCGAATCTGATTCCGATTCTTCAGAGTAACATGAATAATCGGTGGATAAGTCAATGTTGATTGATTGTCTCCGCGTTGCAATAATTAATACAGTAAGCGCCAAAAAAATGCGACTCTTACAACTAACATTTCAATTATCGGTTTAGTTAAATAAAATGAGTAGCCGGGGACAAATTTGATTAAAACATAAATATTTAGTTCTTCTACTATCGTATAAGTATTTGACATTGTTCAATATGTTGCATGATTACTTAAGCAAAATCACATGTTTTTTTTTTAATACTCAATATTTTGTATCGTTCCGTTCGTATGGTGATTAAATATCGTTTGGTCCGTTCAAAATATTGTTTTAAGATCCAATTTAACCATTCTTTGGATAGTGTTTGAACTAATATTTGCCTCCTTTTTATCATTTTTTTGTATGGAGTGAACAGGATTTTGGACAATCTTGCCAATGCAATAAGTTCATACTGTTCGTGAACAATACCGCTTGACTTCCTAGAAGTTAAGAACTCTGATAATACAAAGTCCAAATTTGAGACATAAGTCCTTAAGATATCTTTTAGATGTCAAAAATTATATCTCGATTTTGGACACTTTATGTTGTCTGAGAACTTATTGATATTTGATTAAGTATCAATTTTTTTAACAGAATACGCGGAACGTGGCAATCCATAAGCTGACAAATTTCTTGAATTGAATCTTGGATATGGATCAAATCGTACATTTATTCTTTATCGAATATTTTTAATAGCGAGAGAGAGAGAGAGAGAGAGAGAGAGAGAGAGAGAGAGAGAGAGATTAACAAGAATATAAAATTATATTATAATTACAACTTTATAATATATCAAAAAGTGACGCTTCTATTATACAACAGATGGCGTTACTGTGTTATATTCAGCTAATATAATAGTGATTAAAAAAGTGAGTCGCATTTTTTTGCATATACTGTACATTATCAAGAGGATAAGAAAGGACTATAAAAAGGGAATGAGTTATATAAAATTGATTGGTAAAAAGTTATATATGCAATGATATACTAGTCGTTTAAGCGGTGAACATAAGGCTAGTATTTATAATCCGTTCTTATTTTAAGACCGTTTTAAATAATATTTGAAAATGTTTACAGCTCTGTAGTCGGTATTTATAGTCCGTTATAATTAGAAGAAGAATTCATATTAGCATCTTAAGACATTCTTAAGTAATGTCTTAAGATGCTAATATGAATTCTCTCTTTCTCTGATATTAGTTCATGACATCTAAAGATTGTACTTAAGACGATCTTAAATATAAGAATCGCGACTGTATGACCAGCCTCTGATTGGCTTATGACATCTTAAAACTATTTCAGACAGTCTTAAATATAAAACTGATTATGAATACCGGTCATAGATAATATATCATGTACATGTTACTAGTCTGTATACAGAGAGAAAATTCACGAATTGACCACGAGATGTTTCATAAGTTTGCTGATAGTTATAATAAACGATGGATGATCATTCTACATTTGAGAAAGTAAACACTTCGCGCGATCGTTCATCAGTTCAAAAATAATCGGCCTGATAATTATTACGATTGAAGGAAACGGACCAGGAAACAGAAAAAACCAGCTCAGTAAAGACTAAAATTAGTCAATTTACAAGATCCTTAAATGCATCGATCGCTAAGCGATCAAGTTCAACAGAGCCATACTGCTAAAAAGATAATTTAGCTGAATAAGAATTTCCAGAATAAGAGTTATAAATGTACAAATTATTCTCGATTTTTATTGAGATTCTCACATCTATTTGGAATTGAGTATTACTACAGTTTTTTTTCAATTTTTGAATTAATTGCTATGATAATTGTTCACAAAATAATGATTGATAGCGAGCAATTTACGAAACATCTCGTTCACATTCTTATGTAATATAGCGGCTAATGACAAGTAAATAATTAAAGGAAAAATAATTTGAAATATGGAAAGACAATACTGGTTTTCTGTTTCATTTAGCTTGTTAAGTCGTAGAGCACATTCGCAACGAAAAGCTTTGTGTTCGTAAAGTGCGTTAATTTATGACACATTAAAGATTTAAAAACATTACTATAGGCGATCGTAATGAATTGAAATTGTTGACGAAAACATTTGCATGCTATATGCTTTTTAAACAGATGGCACAATTGTTTATTCGGAAATTTACACTAAAGTTATTTATATTACTTATTACATCTTAGTTCTTCTGAATTATATTTAAAAAATGGCAATTTTTCTTTTATTATTATCATAGAACTGAAATGGTCTCATTTAAATATTTAAAAATTTTTATATATTTTAAGAAACGTTCATAAATCTAGCATACATTTTTATTATATTAATTAAAACGAAAAATCACTCAAAGAGAAGACATATCTCTAAATTACGTCGTCGTTGCAATCAGAAGGTAATCAGAACACTATAAATAAAGACAATATTAGTAGCCTAGTTTATATCGTGCACTTGATACAGATACTAACTAGTAACTTTCTGTTGATTTATCTTAACTTCGGCGATACGTGTAAACATATACATGATTATTAATTATTTTGCATATTATATCAAATGCATATTGTATCAATTTAGTGCATTAGTCTTTAAATATATTTCTGAAATTATTATAATTTAATAGAAAGTTACTAATTAATACGCGTACCAACTTACAAAGTGCTCAGTGTAAAAGGAATCAATATATTCTATTCCCGCAGTATCCCCTAGCAAATTCCATTGTTTGAGCTTATAGATGATTTATGCATACCGTTATCTAATCGCTAGTAGATATTAAGTTATAAATTTATTATCATGATTAATGTCTGCCATTAGAATCTGTGAAATAGTGTGTGAATAATAATGAGATATTGATAATTCTAGAAACGATGGTGTCCATTGTGTATATGTATAATATTAATTTAATTTTATCATTGCTATAAATGCGATGGAAACATGCATCTCTTTTGCAAAAAAATCATCGCTCTAGTTCTTAACAATACTCGTTAAGAGTTAACAATAATAGTATCATGAATAATCTGCAAGAGCTTGTAGTGGTAGCGCGTTGTAAAATTCTAGACTAGATATAAGTTTATGTTTTTATTGTTTTTATTTTCATCTTTCTCAGTCAATACGTATAACAGTATCGACTTGTGGCAGAAAAGCAGCATCACCAAATATTAGAATTAAGACTGTGCTAGTGATATAATTATATGAGGTTTCTATACTGTAGACGTACACGTGACAGAGAGATCTCCATTAATTACATACAGTCTGATGTGTAATCTCATATTGTATATCTAAGATAAGATATTTAAACAATTAGAGACATAAGTTTCAGTTGTGTTTTAAATTTTTCTTTGACATTCTCAACCGGCAAAAAAGGTCGTAAGAGTTCATTCTAGTCCCTAGCTATTAAGAGAATCGTATGACACGGAAGAATTCGCCGTTGATCGTGCGTTATTTGATAAGATTTAGATTAGGAATAGATTTTAAGCATGATTTCGGTTCGTTACCGATTATTGTGGTGTTATGAACATTGAAATATAATACTCATAAGTACGTTAATTGCTCTGATCTTCGACGACGTAAATTAGTCCTATACGAATGTCTCATAGAATCTTATTTCTGTTTAGCGGAATCTGACTTGATTGAAACATTGTCATTCTCAACTAGAGATAAAAATTACTGAAAAAATTTGAGTAAAAAAACCAGTAAAAACCAGTTTTTTATTCTAAAAGTTTTTTTACCAAAATATTTTCTACATTTTACATCATATTATCGTTCTAGAATTTAGCTTTTGCATTCATCCAAAAAGCTTCTGTGTAAAGATACCTGTAAACATTGTAAACAATCAAAGTACAATGGTTAACATAATTATTAAATAGCGGTGATCGTGAAATATATTATTTATTGTTAGATTTAATTTCGAAAAGGTGTTATCATTATAATGGATACTGTAACTGCAATGAATACGGTTTCGTTTTAATATTTAAAATTATAAAGACAAAAGATATTAATTAAGAATAGATATTAAACTTATTGTCAATGAATATTAAAAAAAAATGAATTCTATATATTTTTTTCAGGATTTTAATGAAAAACAATTTTTTTACCGTAAAAAGTTTTTACTCGATATTTAATCCGAAGTAAAAAAAACTATTTTTTATATTTAGTTTAAAAAATGGAAAGAATTCTCTATAATGAAAACGTAGGACATAAAACGTAGAAAACGTGATGTAAGTGAGAAAATAACGTGTATTTCTTTGAGGATTGCTTCTTTTCAGTGTGCAAGCAGTTACCCTTAAATGAAATCGTCAGGAAAGTTTAATTGCGCTTTTTACTGTGCAATTATATTTTGTTACAACAAACCAAGAGTGAATGAAGCCCTGAAAATATGTCACATTATATGAATGTATACCAATAACAGCAACAAATATTACCAAACAATTTTATTTTATTTTGTATTACAATTCTTATAAAGTCAAAATGTATTGATTGACGTTTGTAACTTGCTAAGTTACGTAACTTTAGTTAATTACGTTATCTTAAAATTATTTCTTTTATATATCAGACACTTTTTCGTAGATACAAATGTTCGTCATAATGCGGAAAGTTTTATGAGAGGATGCGCACAAAATATTCACAAATATAAATCGAATTTTCGCACTTTGAAATAGCGCAAAGCTTTTCGAGTTGCAGTGTGGAGATTTATTTGAGTTTGGTATCTCTAAAACGGATTTTGGGCAAGTTTTTTCTTTACGGAAGCTTGCGCCAAGACGTGACTTTTCCAGCTCGTGATCTCAAAATATGCGTAATCCAACCGTCGTATGATTCAGAACGGCGTTTGTGTATCTAAACAAAAGAGAAAAAAAATGAAACAAAAAGCATATATACAGTTAAACATTGCATGTATAGATTTTAGAAAAGGATAAGTAGAATTAGGAGAATAAATGTATGCAATGGTTTGGTGTGTTTACAATGACTTTGAGAGAGAGAATGCAGAGAGAAATTATATACGCGATGTGAATTGGATTTTGAACATTTAATGAAAGAAGATTGATACTTGTCATACATTTGTTGCGATTTTGCCCGTGTTTACTTCTCTGATAACTTTTCTGCTTCAAAAAGAAGGAAAATTATAAGAAAGGTAAATGTGCAA